ATGGTTGGAAACTGTATAATTAAAGGATTTGATTATGTTCTGTGTCCTTCTCCCCAGTTGAACCTTGAAACTATTAAATATGCAAAATAATGTCTGCTTGAGAAACATCACAGCAATTTTTGAGCCAGTAATAGTAACCACCTGTGAAAAGGAAAAATGCTTCCAAAATAATTTGAGTACATGTAATCTGCTTGTTTGTGAGAAAACAGGGGCCTCATCTGTTAAACTTGCAGAAAGTGGCAGCTAGTCAGTAGGGAGAATTAACACTTCAAGCAGCTGGAAGGTGACACCTGGCAATAAAAGATGGCTTTCCATCAGGCAAGTAAATTATTGGAATGAGGAGAGTCTCGTGGAATGGAAGAGGAAGGAAGTATAGGGGAGATTGAGAATTCCTTGTGGAAATCATTTCACTTACCTGTGAAGGCCTCATGAAAACAGCTTACCCTCTTGGCCTGGGTTAAAATGCAATCCAGATTCTATTTGATGCCGTTATGCTTAAATCTATGAGTCTCTTGCCTTGCCAACAGGTGCCTTAGCCACATATTTGCATTTGAAATGTGAATCACGGGTAGAAATAAAAGAAAATTGTAGAATGGAATGTTCTATTTTAATGCTCTCCCACCCCTCTCCACCCTGGCATCCTTCAATTTCAGCTGGAGGGATTGGATTAAAATGGCCAACATACAAGTCTCAAACACAGAAGTGGTCCATATGGTTTGTATTGTTGTGACTGGATTATTTACTGATATATTAAACCTTCAATTACAACATATGTTTTATTTTAAAGAGGACACACAGCCAAGAAATGACCATAGATGTAAATCCAATTACTGTCTAGCAAAATGCTGATGGGAACCACAGAACTTAACAGCTGGAAAGGTATCAAGAAACTTCAGACTTCTATCCTTCAAAGGGAGAGATATCATTCATTACAAACTGGATTTGATCACTTGTGGCTACAGAGAAAATCCGGGGATTATCTCCTAAACTTCAGGCATATTTACATTTCATCCTTCCAGGAATATACAAAAAAAAGGGCTGAAAACCAACTGCAATCTCCTGGAATGTGTGGATGAATGGGTTGTTGTGGTAGTCTGGATTAGTGTGCTGTGAATGTGACAGGTTGTGAATAGCCATTAGATACCTCTGTGTTCAAGGTAAAGAACCACTCTCTCATTCAGAGTATTGGAAGCCAGACAAGCCAGAGAAGTCAAACGGAAACAGGACAAAAACCTTTCATCTAACTGATAGAGCTGGGATTCTCAAAGTCAACTGTCTTACTATCAATATCAGTGTTATCTGTATCACCCAATTTAATAGCCACAGTATTCCACCATCCACTGTGCAATTCAGAGACTGATTCATTTATCTTTTTAAGCTGTTATATTTTTATTTAGTCACATTTCTAATAGGTATGTGTGTGTGTCACATTTAATTATCTTTCCTTGCATTTAGTAGCTAATAAACTCACCCTTTCTCTAACTCAAGACAGAGTAGCTCATATGGCTCATTTTAAAACATAACTACATTTAGATTCCTTTCATGAAGAAAGGGATAACTGTAAAATTAACCTTATTGCAACCAGCTGAGAGTAGGATGAAATTAAGAAGGGGAACCAGTTCATCCCTCCTCACCAAGGGGTAAAATCATTTTAGGGATAATCCATCTGGAATCATAACCACTTAGGAACTGATTGTAACAGTGTCTCCAGTGGTTTCTAGCTAGAGCAATCTTAAAAGTTTCTCTGTTCTTTTACAGATTTTGTCCATCATCATATAGCCTGCAATCTCAAACTATCTCTGTCACAGTTGAGCTCTGTGGAAAAGTATTGTGGAAAAATATTCCAGCAGCCAGTGGGTAAAAAGCATTTCTCCAAGTGAAAGATCTGTTACACGAGTTTGAAGACTTCATCACATACAACTTGCTCCATTAAGTTTCATTAAATAAGGAAGATTTGTAAAAGACACGTGCTTCCAATTATTCACTAAAGAAAGAATTTCAGAAGAACTTTGAAGCAGACCAGCTATAGCTAATCTAATCAAATATCTAAACCTCATCTGAAGTGCTTTAAAAGTGTATCTTAACTTCTCCTGCAGTGCACAGTACCAGATGCATTTGTAATGCATTGATTACAGATGCCACTTCTTCAGCTGAGAAATTTACAAACACTTTTGAACTGGATTTAGGTATTTAAATATTAAAGGCAGAAAAGTTTTGAGCTAAAGGCACCTGCTACTAATCCTGAACTTCAAAAGAATTAAATAAGGGGATCTGTGTTCAATTTTTGTTTTCCTAATCGGGATCCACAGTCATGATTATCTAAACTACAAAGGCTCTTCTAAGTAAGTGGCAAAAGGTTAATTTAAGCCAGTTGTAGAGTTCACGATGGCTTCTGGAATTTAATTCTTCATCATGCTTAAACTTTGTGCTTTTGAATATTTGTTCTTTTATACAGCTGCAAAGAAAACCCAATCAAATTACTGCAATTAAAATCTCAGATCCAACACTTGAATTACTTAGGAAAATTTGAACATTTTAACATATCAAAGTCTTGTTGACATGATGTATATTGCAAAACTTAGTTACTATCAAATATAGGAAGAGTGACTACACTTGCAAATCCATGAAGAAACCAGATGGAAATTACCAAGTATTATATAAGATAGGAATGAGATCAGAGATATCAAATGTTGATTCATTCATGAATAGCTTCATGTGAACCTTTGATGTGTAAAACTGTTATAGTGTGAAGAAGTGTTTCCAGTGAATACATTTTTGATAGCATACATCATGTAGATCCTTGGATAGTAGAAGGCAAAATAAATGAACCTTAGTCTTTGTTCTTCCAGTAACTTTGTTAAAGGCTGAGATGAGGAAGAATTTTTTCTGATAGAGGCTTGAGTGCCTTTAGAGCTCCTTGTCAGAGAGAGCTGTGAGGACAGTCATAGAAACATCGAAAATACATGCAGGAGTAGTCCGTTTGGCCGTTCGAGCCTACACCACCATTCATTATGATCATGGCTGTCCATTTAAGTCTGAGATAGATTCTTGAACATGGGGCAATCAAGGATTATGGATAAAGGGCAAGAATATAGACATGAGGAGTGTTGGATAAACCATGATCCTATTGAGTGGCAGAGAAGGCTTGAGGGGCCAAACTGCCAACTCTTGTTCCTATTTCTTATGGTCTAATGTTCATAAAACAAACACAGAAATTGCTGGAGAAGCTCAGCAGGTTTGACAGCATCTGTGGAGAGAAAACAGAGTGAGTGTTTCAAGTTCAGTGATCCTAGAAGGTCTTGCATTTGGCAGTGCCTTGGAAGAGGCCATTGCTTGCTGCTGGTACTGCACTCTGGAACACAGAGGATTCAGGAGCATGGTATGTGTGACTCAGGGCTGGGTGGATTTCTGAGGTTGGGGTTCATGGGGAATGGGTGGGGCAGGGGATTTGGAAGCAAAGACAAGGAGGTGTTTCTCAATGACACCTCCCTGCATTGTGTCCCGTCCCTTCGCCATAGTCTGAGTGCCTTTGATCATGGGATCCTCCACCCTCCTGCACCCCTCACACATACTTCCACCATGCTGAGGTGATAAGCTGCCCGTACAGATTGAACTATCAGGCATTGTGACTGGCTTACACGCAGTTATGGTAATTCCAGCATTGGGGAACAGAAGCTGCTGTTGACAATTTAGGAGCCTCAACTGGCAGCTTGGCAGAAATGTCAACCACATACCCCAGACTTAATTCTGGTGGGTATGTGAAGCTAGCAGTGTCTATATACAATACCAACCTGACTAATTAACACCGTCAGTCCCAGGATCCCCAACTCCAGGAGGATGCTTGCAGCCATAGTGTCTAAAACTTTAGTTTTTAAACTCCGCAATTAAATTCAGCAAATACAACTGCCACATGCCTCATTACAACAGGAAAAGGAAAAATTAAACTACATCCCTCACCGCTCCGAATCAAAGTACGGGTTTTGGCCAGTTATTTTAAGCATTAAAATTGTTACTTTGGGAGAAGAATAACATGCGTGCAGCCAATGAACAACTATAGAGCTCACTTCTGTGGCGGCTTCAGAGAAAGAAATATTTCAGCCATCACACTGGTGCTGGTTCTCTTAAAGGCTGATTCATTTAGCTTCATTCTTCTGCCCATTTTGCAATCCCTTTTTGAATTGGGTTCCAGGCAGGCAGTACACATGGCATACTCCCTAACTGAAACTGAGATGGCTGTTGTATAAATATGACACTTTACAACTTTGATTATTGTTGTGTCAGTTTCCTGTCACATTGTTTTACCATGAAATATCTGTCTGCATCACAGCTTTGACTTCCTATTTAGGAATTCCTGACATGCATCATTTACTGTGTTTATTGTACTGCTGTGTCAAATAAAGACTGTTTGCCTTTCATGGCTGATGTTGGTTATATTTTAATTGGTCATTTTCAGATAAGAAGGAAGCTAATTTATAGGCAGATCGAAATAACCGGGCAATGTCAGGAGTGCTATGTATTCAAGGTGAGAAGTAATACTTGAAGATGTAAATGCCCTTATTTAATTTATTTCAAGGTCAGCCAAAAATTTTGACCCATGTTCAGCCAAGGAAATGGAGTAACCCAGCATATAATAACATTACTTACAATTCTCAGTCAAAACATCAGTCAAACCACCTATTTATTCATAACTGTCACATGCCTCCAGCACACAAGGGGCTTATTTGAGTCAAATCTTGTTAATTTGTTCTGAGTTCCACCAACTTGTTGTAAAAGAAGCTTCTTTCAATGAATAAAGAAAAATGAAACAAAAGCCAAACCAAAGATTCACAGGAAATTTTCATGCTGGCAAATAGGTAATTTAAAAATATGTTCCCTCCTAAAGATAGCTGATACTTCAGCCTGTAGTTTTATTGTGATAAATAAACTTATGTCTTGCTCCAATGAACGCACATTCATTAACCCTTTGTATATGAACAAAACCGACAAAAAAAGATACAAACCTGCATGGAAGTCTATTCCTACTGTAAGCGATGTCCCAGATATTGGCAGCAAGGCGTCTGATTTATCATTGGGTTCAAGTGATATTCCTCTGATTTCTTCATGAAGAGAATACATCAGGAAAGATTCAAAACCTAGTCAATAAATAAATCATGTTTCCCTATGTTATTCCGTTAGAAAATAAGTAAATGGGAAAACAAGATTCAATTAGGTATTGATTTCACAATTTATAATTTGACAATATTGCTTTCAAAGCATGTACAAAACTAGGCATTTCTGACCAGGCTTTGACTGATGTCAAGTTATATTAGAGCAGATATAGTTCAAAGTGGCATTAATTTGCAACATGCTTTCACTTTCCCAAAATCAATATTTTATGTGTGATGCAATGTGCTTCATTTTCCACAATCATTACTGTAGGTTTAAAGCAGTAGTTCTATCACTATATTGAACAAAGAACTGTAAATGAGTAATCACTTTATTGGAAGTGAAAATCAGACAGTTTCTATAACAACAAACTGATGTGCACCAACACTTTTACAAACAGGTGAAAAGTTGAAAATTTACCTCAGTGATAAAAATTTGCTATTCAGTGTAATTTCACTGTACATATATTGAAACTGCTGACATAAAAATGTATTTCTAGTTTATTTGACCAAATGTATTCCTTTCAATACTCTATTAACATTGCTATTGATTACAGTTATAATTTAGGAAAGGTACGCTGTTCTTGTCAACAGCTATGTTCGAACTTTGGAGCGTTTAATGATTGATTTTAATAGCATTCATTGAAGTGAAGGCAGTGTAAGCTAAAATTCTTGACAGTAACTGCAAAACATTTTATTCAGCTATTTAAAGAGTATTTTCAATTGTCACCGGAGATGGAGCAGGAAATTAGCATTGGACATTTACTTTTGTAATAAGAGTTACCAGACCAAACAGAAGGGGAAAAAAAACTGCGCAAAATAGATCTGCAACAAACGAAATACTAATTACTGTTGGAAGATATTTGATTCAAATTTAACTACAAAATGTTTCTCTGCATGACGCTAAAAAGAAAATTAACCATTTTAACAGAAACATTTCAAATTAGAAATAGATCTCTATTGAAGTTGATACATTTTAACTTCATCCTGGATTGTAGAATCAACCCAACTTCGGCTATTATCAACATCTTGTCATGCTCCGCAAGTTGCCTCTACTCTACATCCTGAATGCATCTTTTTCCTTCATCAGGGAAGGTTTCATGTTAGAATTAATTGAGGGCATTACAGTGTAAACAGTGCGTGTATTCCTCTGATAGCTGCATCTAACCGTCTGCTCTGTTGCTGTAATTTTTTATTTGCTGCGACACACAGCCACATGCATAAATATAGACAGAAGCACAGCGAGCTTTATGAGTGATGTGTTTAAGGTTTTAAAGCTGTCTCTCACATCATTTGTCACTGTGTCTTCCAAGGCTTATGTGAAGATGCAAAAGAGGCGGTGGTAAACATTCTGTTCTCCACAGCATCAGCTGCACATGGGAATCTAAATTCCTCAATTTACCTCGTGATGGCGGGGATTTATTACTGGATTTTCGGGAGTAGGTACCAGTTCCACTTTTGTCTGGTTTCTAATGGTGAAGGACCTTCGTGAAGGTAAATGAGCTGAGAGAGCAGCAGTAGGAAGCTGATATGACATGGTTATCCTGATAACCAGCACCAAATAAGCCTCTCTAACTAGAATTGGGATAAAAAGAACTTAATTACTTTTCTCCATACACCCCGAAAAGCTGTTGTTTTATTCAGTTGATAACAACACTTACCTTCACATGACATTTTATCACTGCGTAACTGATATCCCACAGTGCACTTGCATGTCTTCCTTGTTTCTGAGACTGGCAAGCAGAGCTGAGAGCATCCACCATTGTTCACACTACACAGATTAGTACCTAAATGGGGCATATAAAATCAATGTTCAGGAGTCTACCAATGCTTCAGTTAGCTTACTTCTACATGAATAATGGGACTTCTCCTGACTGTATAGTAATCTGCGCCATATGATTGATGAATAGTCTAACTTTATTTGAAATTGTAACTGACCTTTCTATGTCAAATAGCTCTGAAAAGCACATTTCACTAAAATAATGGAGCATTATGTCAAACTGCAGTAATGGCATTAGTCTATCGAGCATTAAAATTTATGATTATTGTGCTACCATAGCAAAGTGGTAATGATCTTTTTGTAGAATGTTGGCCTTTTTACCTTAACAAAATAAATTGTTCCACAGACAGAGATAACAAGGTGTAGAGCTGGATGAACACAGCAGGCCAAGCAACGTCATAGGAGCAGGAAGGTTGACGTTTCGGGCCGAGACCCTTCATCAGAAATGGGGGAGGGGAAGGGGGTTCTGAAATAAATAGGGAGAGAGGGGGAGGCGGATAGAAGATGGATAGAGGAGAAGATAGGTGGAGAGGAAACAGACAGGTCAAAGAGGCGGGGATGGAGCCAGTAAAGGTGAGTGTAGGTGGGGAGGTAGGGAGGAGATAGGTCAGTCCAGGGAGGACGGATAGGTCAAGGGGGCGGGATGAGGTTAGTAGGTAGGAGATGGGGGTGGGGCTTGAGGTGGAAGGAGGGGATAGGTGGGAGGAAGAACAGGTTAGGGAGGCGGAGACGACCTGGGCTGGTTTTGGGATGCGGTAGGGGGAGGGGAGATTTTGAAGGTTGTGAAATCCACATTGATAGCATTGGGCTGCAGGGTTCCCAAGCGGAATATGAGTTGCTGTTCCTGCAACCTTCGGGTGGCATCATTGTGGCACTGCAGGAGGCCCAGGATGGACATGTCGTCTGAGGAATGGGAGGGGGAGTTGAAATGGTTCGCGACTGGGAGGTGCAGTTGTTTATTGCGAACCGAGCGTAGGTGTTCTGCAAAGCGGTCCCCAAGCCTCCGCTTGGTTTCCCCGATGTAGAAGAGGCCACAACGGGTACAGAGGTTCCCTCGACCGAATCTTCCGCATTTCCCGCAACTCATCCCTCACACCCCATCCCCGCAATAACAACCAAAAAAGAATCCCCCCCCTCCTCACGTACCACCCCACCAACCTCCGGATCCAATGCATCATCCTCCGACACTTCCGCCATCTGCAATCCGACCCCACCACCAAAGACATTTTTCCCTCCCCACCCTTATCTGCTTTCCGGATGGACCACTCTCTCCGTGACTCCCTTGTCTGCTCCACACTCCCCTCCAGCCCCACCACACCCGGCACTTTTCCCTGCAACCGCAGGAAGTGCTACACCTGCCCCCACACCTCCTCCCTCACCCCCATCCCAGGCCCCAAGAAGACTTTCCACATCAAGCAGATGTTCACCTGCACATCTGCCAATGTGGTATACTGCGTCCGCTGTACCCGTTGTGGCCTCCTCTACATCGGCGAAACCAGGTGGAGGCTTGGGGACCGCTTTGCAGAACACTCACGCTCAGTTCGCAATGAACAACTGTACCTCCCAGTCGCGAACCATTTCAACTCCCCCTCCCATTCCTCAGACGACATGTCCATCCTGGGCCTCCTGCAGTGCCACAACGATGCCACCCAAAGGTTGCAGGAACCTATTCTGCTTGGGAACCCTGCAGCCCAATGCTATCAATGTGGATTTCACAACCTTCAAGATCTCCCCTCCCCCTACCGCATCCCAAAACCAGCCCAGCTCATCCCTGCCTCCCTAACCTGTTCTTCCTCCCACCTATCCCCTCCTTCCACCTCAAGCCCCACCCCCATCTCCTACCTACTAACCTCATCCCGCCCCCTTGACCTATCCGTCCTCCCTGGACTGACCTATCTCCTCCCTACCTCCCCACCTACACTCACCTTTACTGGCTCCATCCCCGCCTCTTCGACCTGTCTGTTTCCTCTCCACCTATCTTCTCTTCTATCCATCTTCTATCCGCCTCCCCCTCTCTCCCTATTTATTTCAGAACCCCCTTCCCCTCCCCCATTTCTGATGAAGGGTCTCGGCCCGAAATGTCAGCCTTATTTGAGAATTCTATAACTCATCAAAATGTAATACTTCCTACAATATAATTTTGTTCATGAACTTTCATTACTCATAGAACATAGAACAGTACAGCACAGTACAGGTCCTTCGGCCCATGATGTTGTGCCAACCTATTATCCTACTAAGATCAAACTACCCTGCATACCCTACATTTTACTCTCCTCCATGTGCCTGTCCAAGAGTTAAATGTCTCTAATGTATCTGACTCCACTGCCGGCAGCGCATATACATGTCTGTTGGGGTGTTATTTAGTTCATTTGGCTGGACAGCTGATTTGCAATGCAGAGTGAGACCAACAGTGTGCATTCAATTTCCACACAGGCTGAGGTGACCATGAAGGACTCTTCTTCTTAACTTCTTGCCCAAGGCGTGGTGATGCCCAGGTTAAAACACAACCAGCCATCTTTTCTGAATGAGAAAGTAGCCCTATGGTCCAGTGGGACTGTGGTGACTTTACATGGCCCTTAGAGTTCCTGAAACTAGAGCAATTAAACAGGCTATTCTGAAGTCATTAAGCCTCTCAATATTTTAAATAATAGTATTCAATCAAGGAGCAAGTTTCCTAAAAGTCACATTTTCAAATTATTTGCACTTCTGTATTATGATCCTTAGAGGTCCATGCCCCACAACAAAACTTAGGGAGTATTGGTTGAGACTGCTCAAATTTACTTCACTTTTCATCTCTAAATACTACGTGGAAAAAAAAAACAAATCCTAATTTCAGTTTCCAAAGAAGGTAAAGACCTGACTATAAGACACTACAGAGTAAGGATGAGTAAATAGCAGGACCTAGAACAGAAAACAGCAGGAGTCATTCCTGTTTCCTCCTCTAAAGGTTTGACCATTTCTCACCTTCTGTTTTCTAATGCAGAGCATGTTTCAAACAAATTAAGATTGGACAAAATAAATTCTATGACATAACAATGATAAATGCAGCTGAAGAGAGAAACAGAGTTAAAGTTTCATGTCAATAACCTTTCATGGAATGAAAGTTCAATGAGTTAACATTTAAATGTATAGAAACATAGAATGTAGGGGCAGGATTAGGCCACTCAGCCCTTCCACTCTTTTAGACCATTCAACATAATTACGTCTGATCATCCAACCCAATATCCTGGTCACATTTTCTCCTTGTACTCTTTGATCTCTTTAGCCCTAAGAATGACATCTAACTCCTTCTTGAAAACGTTCAATGTTATCGTCTCAACCACTCTCTGTGGCAAAAAATTCCACACGCTCACCACACTCTGTGTGAAGAAATTTTTTCTTATCTCAGTCCTAAATGGCCTATCCTGTATCTTTAGACTGTGACCCCCTGGTTCTGGACTCCCTGGTCATTTGGAACATCCTTCCTGTTTAATCCTCTTAGAATTTTATAGATTTTTTTTATCCTCCTCATCCTTTTAAACAATTTTACTTGACCCATTTGTCAGTCCTGCCATGCCAGGAATCAATCTTATAAACCTTTGTTGTACTGCCTCCATAGCCAGAACATCCTTCCTCAGAAACAGAGACCAAAACAGCACACAATACTCCAGGAGTGGTCCCACCAGGGGCCTGTACTTTTGCAGCAAAACATCTCTGTCCCTGTACTTAAATCCTGTTGCTTTGAAGGTCTACAGTTGCTTTCTTCACCACGTGCTGCACTTGTACACTTACTTTCAATGACTGGTGTACAAGGTCACCCAGGTCTCTTCGCACTTCCCTCTTTTTCAATCTAGCACCATTCAGATAATAATCTGTATCCTTTTGTTTGCAACTAAATTGGATAACCTCTCATTTGTCCACATTATACATCATCCACCATGAATTTGCACGCTCACTCAACTTGACCAAATCACACTCTCACTATTTCTGCATCAGCCTCACAGTTCACCTTCCCACCCAACTTTCTGTCATCTGCAAACTTGGCAATATTGCATTTAGTTTCCTCATCCAAATTATGAAAATATATTGTAAATATATTTTCTAACATTAATACTGATGCCTTCAGTACTCCATGAGTCACTGTCTGCCAGTCAAAAAAAGACCTGTTTATTCCTAAACTTTGTTTACTGTCTGCCAACTCTTTCAATCCAAGTCAGTACACTGTCCTCAATCCCATGAGTCTTAATTTTACATGCTAAACTCTTATGTAGAACTTTATTGAAAGCCTTCGGAAAGTCCAAGAAAACCACATCCAGCTCGAGGAGTTACATCCTTGAAAAATTACAGTAGATTTGTCAAGTGATTTAAAAAATTTATGAGAACCTTTCTGAAAATGTCTCCTTATATTGATATACATATATCATGTTATATCGGTTTAATTTTCACTGCTTTGTTGTTCTCAATAAACTGACAGTCTATTTTTACTGACTCTTTGTTCTCTTTAAATGAATAGTGATGGTGGAGAATTGTAATACGTATTTCCTATTATGAACAATAGAGCAACTAGTTTATTTTTGCCAAGTCTATGACTTATCTTAAAATTATTCTCGTCTTTGCTACTTTTGCTTCAGGCCCAGCATTCCATGACCACCAACACTAACCCTCTTCCCATGGCACCTTCCTATGTAACCGCAGAAGGTGCAACATCTGCCCCTTCCTCCCTGCTCACCATCCAAGGGCCTAACCAGTCTTTCCAGGTGAAGCAGCATTTCATCTGTACCTCCTCCAATGTTGTATTGTATTTGCTGCACTCAATTAGCCTACTGTACATTGGAGAAAACAAACGCAGACTGGGTGACCACTCAGAGATAGTAAGAACTGCCGATGCTGGAGTCTGATATAACACAGCTGGATGGACACAGCAGGCAGTATCAGAGGAGCAGGAAAGCTGAAGTTTCGGGTTGGGACCCTTCAGCAGAAATGGGGGAGGGGAAGGGGGCTCTGAAATAAATAAAGGGGGGGACGGTGATAACAGGTAGATAGTGGAGCGGATAGGTGGGAGGGAAGACGGACAGATCAAGGAGGTGGGGATGAGAGGGGGGGCTCGTCTTGGGATGAGGTTGGGGGTTGGGAGATTTTGAAGCTAGTAAAGCCCACATTGAGACCATTGGGTTGTAGGCTTCCAAGGCAGAATATGAGGCGCCGCTCTTCCAGTTTCCAGGTGGCATCGTTGTGACACTGGAGGAGGCCCAGGATGGACATGTCATCCAGCGATTGGGAGAGGGAGTTGGAGTGGTTTGCGGCTGGCAAGTGTTGTCGTTTGTCGTGAACTGAGCGTAGGTACTCTACAAAGCGGTCTCTGAGCATCCACTTGGTCTCCCCAATGTAGAGGAGGCCACATCGGGAACAGCGGATAAAATAGACCACATTAGCGGATGTGCAGGCGAACGTCTGTTTGATGTGGAAGGTATTTTTGGGGCCTGGGATGGAGGTGTGGGGGGAGGTGTAGGGGCAGGTGTAGCACCTCCTGCGGTTGCAGGGAAGGGTGCCGGGGGTGGTGGGGCTAGTGGGGAGTGTGGAGCGGACGAGGGAGTCACAGAGAGAGCGGTCCTTCTGGAAGGCAGATTAGGGTGGGGAGGGAAATATATCCTTCGTAGTAGGGTCAGATTGCAGGTGACGGAAGTAGTGGAGAATGATGCATTGAATCCGGAGGTTAATGGGGTGATACGCGAGGACAAGGAAATTCTGTCTTTGTTTTTATTGCGGGGAGGGGGTGTGAGGGCTGAGGTGCGGGAAATGCAAGAGATGCGGTCGAGGGCGTTTTCGACCACTGAGGGGGCGAAGTTGCGGTCCTTGAAATACGAAGACATCTGTGATGTTCGGGAGTGGAACGCCTTATCTTGGGAGCAGATCTGTGGAGGTGGACGAATTGTGAGTAGGGGCTCACATTCTTGCAGGGAGGCGGGTGAGAGGAGGTGTAGTCTAGGTAGCGGGAGTCAGTGGGCTTGAAATAGATATCAGTTTCGAGGTGGTTATCGGAGATAGAGACATAGAGGTCCAGGAAGGAGAGAGAGGTATCTGAGATGGTCCAGGTGAACTTGAGGTTGGGGCGGAAGGTGTTAGTAAAGTTGATGAACTGTTCGAGCTCCTCATGGGAGCACGAGGCGGCGCCAATACAGTCATCGATGTAGCGGAGGAAGAGGTGGTGGATTGGGCCAGTGTAGCTGCAGAAGATGGATTGTTCCACGTATCCTACGAAGAGGCAGGCATAGCTTGGGCTCATGTGGGTTCCCGTGGCCACCCCGTTAGTCTGTAGGAAGTAGGAGGAGTTGAAGGAGAAGTTGTTCAGGGTAAGGATGAGTTCTGTTAAGCAGATAAGGGTGTCAGTGGAGGGGACTGGTTGGGCCTGTGGGAGAGGAAGAAGCAGAGAGCTTTTAGGCCATCTGCATGGGGAATGAAAATGTACAAGGATTGGACGTTCATGAAGGAGAATTTGTTAAGAGTAAGGATGAGTGAAAGAGAAGTTGTTAAGGGTACGGACGAGTTGAAGGAGAAGTTGTTAAGGGTAAGGATGAGTGAAGGAGAAGTTGTTAAAGGTAAGGGCGAGTTGAAGGAGAAGTTGTTAAGGGTAAGGATGAGTGAAAGAGAAGTTCTTAAGGGTAAGGATGAGTTGAAGGAGAAATTGTTAAGGGTAATGTCTTCTTTCCCACCTATCCACTCCTCCCACCTCACTGACCAATCCCCACCACCACCTAGCTACATTCAACTTTACTAGCTTCAACTCCACCTCCTTGACCTGTCTGTCTCCTCTCCCACCTGTCCGCTTCACTATCTACCTGCTATCATTGTGCCCCCCTCTCTATTTATTTCAGAGCCCCCTTCCCCTCCCCCATTTCTGAAGAAGGGTCCCAACCCAAAATGTCACCTTTCCTGCTCCTCTGATGCTGCCTGGCCTGCTATGTTCCTCCAGCTCCACCCTGTGTTATCTCAGACTGGGTGACTGCTTTGCAGAACACCTCCAGTCTCTGCAAAAGCATGACTGTGAACTTCCTGTCGCCAGTCATTTTAACACAGTGTCCTGCTCGCATTGTCTGTCCTCAGCACGCTGCAGGCTCCAGTGAATCACAGCGCAAACTGGAGGAACAATATCTGATCTTCAAAGTAGGCACATTACAGCCTTCTGGACTTAATCCTGAGTTCAACACCTTCAAATTTTGAACCAATTCCTATTTCTTCCCTTTCTTTTAGCTTTACTAGTTACATTGTCCCATTTCTTCTGGTTCTTTCAGATTTGCTTTTTACATTCTCTGTCACCATGTTCTCTCTCCCCTCCCGAAGTGGGACTGTCTGCTCTTTCAAGACTGGCAGTTAGACACACTACTACTGTGCCATTCTAGCATTCCAATCACTTAACCTGAACTATCAAAAATCACCTCCTCACTGCACTCTCCCCCCACCTCTATCTAGGGCACAAATGCTGTCCCCTCCACACTCCACTTCAGCTCTGATGAACAGTCAGTGAGATTCAAAAAGTTAGCTTGCTCTCTCCTCAGGATGCTTTCCGACCCATTGTGATCTCCAGCGTTTGTTGTTTTCAATACAGACTCCAGCATCTGCTGTAATTTGCTCCTACATTCTGAATTTTCTTGTCAATCACTTATTGAATTAACTCATTGGACCTCTAGGTCCCAATGAAAATGAGTGTTTTAAGTGCAAAGCAATTCTTTGCCCTTAACTTCTTGGTGGCTTCCTTCTTACCTTGCTGCATCTCTTTCCCATAGACTTTCATATGCAATACAGTTGCAATATTTTTCCGCATGATGACAGGCTCTGAACCATCCACTTTATTGCAGATTCCAATCCATCCAGATGCTTGATCTGCCCACCATAGCTTGTCTCCTTTAAATACAGGCAGGATGCATCTCGTTAGAAATATTTTGTTTTTGTTTTCTTTTAAAATTTTACTTTTAATCTAAATGTATTTTACATTAAGATATGTTTATTACTTCAATCTCCAAATATGTTGTCTTTATGCATAGTACACAATTAAAGCATGAATGATAAAACTATTCTTTGTACAGATATTGTTGACTCATTAACTTAAAATTTTACTGTAAGATTTTATGGTTGTTGCCACAATTATGGTGTTAGAGGCTTCTTGCTTCACTGACCATTATTAGAAGTCACCTTAATATGGAACTCAGGAACCATATTTTCAATAAACAGGGTTGCTTACACTTGTATAGATAACTAAACCTCCAAATGAATTAATCGATTGTGAAGAACTTTGTTTTATTTCTGAGGCAACATAAAGGCAACTTTCTTCTTTGTATTATATTTATTGTAGCTTCAGATTTGTAGATCACATTTATAACTGAATAGAGCAACGCCCTAAATCTCTGATGGAAAGGAAAATTTGATTTTGATGGCAAAATCATTTTTCTTCTGCCAAAATGGGAAATTTCATACATTACTTTTTTGTTGCTTGGTAAATGGTGCTACAATTATCTCTTTACTTTATCTCCATTAAAAGACAACTTCATTTTCAGTCTTGATAAATTGATACTTTCATTTTGTAGCAATTTAGTTTCTTTAAGATTTTCCTTCCCTATTCATGATTATGTGAGTAAGACTCTTCTGACTCTTTTGACTCAATGTCACCATTAACTACTGTTCAGCCAGGTATGGTGTGATATATGGAATTAAGTTCTCTGCTCTTCCTAGTGATAATCTTCTACTGCATCAATATGACATTTCTATTTTCTGTCCCAACTACTCTTATAGTGCCTAAACGAGACTGTCAATTTAGAGATAATTAGTGTCACATTATAGAGCATTTCGTGGACTTGAACCACTTGGAACTAGGTCAAATTCATTACACTTACAAATCTCACAGCAGTCAGAAAAATCAGGCTTTCATTCCTTCAGTCTGCACTGTTCCATTCATATGCATATTTATGAAATGGCAAGATATTAGACTTCTAGATATTATTGACATTGTTGGTATTGATGGCAAATTCAAACAAGTTGGTCAGAAGGACAACAGTGATTCAAAAGACAAAACTTGCATATTATATTCTTTTAATTCATTCTTTTATGGGATGTGGGCAATTGCAGCATTTGTGCCCATCCTTAATTTTTAATTGAGTGGCTTATTTGGAGCATTTCAGAGGGCATTAAACCACATTGGAATCACGCTTAGGTCAGATCAAGTCAGGATTGGCAGATTTTGTTCTTTAAAGGATATTAATGAACCAAATGGGTTTTTATAGTGATTGACAATAGTTTGATGGCACAGTAAGTGAGATAAGTTTTCAATTCCAGATTTATTAATTAAGTTTAAATTCCAGCAGCTGCTGTTATAGCATTAGCCTGGGCTCTGGATTACAAATCTAATGACATTACCACTATTCCAACACCTCCTCCTCTCCAGACAAAATGTGCACAGGAAACATTTTATCAAACCAAGTGAGTTGATACTAGTACGTCATTCTAAATTTTTAATGATAAAAACTGATGCCTTCCTTGGAAGATAACTTTATATTGGCGAGGTGGCCTCTCTTTCTCCATTACAAACTGACAGCTCACACCTTGACAGAGGGGTTGCTGATCCATCAGTGGTTAAGGACCCTCCACATCAGATGGGGAGCCTGGTTCCTTCCATTAATTAACCTGGAGCTTTAAAAATTATGTGCATGCACTAAGAACATACTGCATGGATTTGGGATTTGGAAGTAAATTGGCAACTAGGTTCCCAGTACAAAATTGAAAATCCTGGTCTACATTGCTGCAGAAAGCCTGCATGGATCACCTTCCAAATGAAATGGGATCAGATGGGCAAGGTGGTCAATTCCTGCTGACTGATCCCAAAGCACTCTGTGCATCATCACACATCTCCTGCTCACCACACCACCAATCTCTCATGCTGTTCAATGTACCTATCACACACTAATTCCTTGGAGATCAGAACTCAAGTCTAACATCCAGATACTTCTGTTCACCTTCACACACATTAGCTAATGTTGCCAGTCACGCATTCACCTCCTACTGCCTCCACATAGCACTACCTTTTCAACTACAGCATGCATATTAGCCAAAGAAAATGCCACACTACCACTGGTATGCAGCTTCTCTCATGTAGGACCAGAAGGAAGACCAGAACCAGCATGTGACAGGAATGCAAGCGTGGAGATGGTGGCTGTTGGCAATATGCAGTTGGCTGTGATCGAATCCATGGCAACCAGTCACTGAGAATACTGACAATGAAGGTGGGCACCTCACCCTCTCTTGCGATGTGACACAAAAGGAATTCTGTTAATGCTGTGGCCATGGATTGTTTTGCCATGGGTGTCTTTGCTCACCCCAAAATGGCCCTTTTGATTTACTGCTTTCAAATACCTAAGAACTGTCACTTGTCCAATCCCAACAGCCGAAGGAAGCAGCGCAGCATTAACCTGATATGTGCAGCTCTGGCTCAGCTACTGGGGGCCAGCTGCTTCAATAACACTAGCCTGCATGTACCTTGGAGACAAGCATGTAGTTGGAATAAAGGTAAAGTCACCATAATCCCAGAGGATCATAGGTCTGTTCTCTCATGAGAGACTGACATCTCATAGTGGTTTAACCTGAGGGTCACCATGCCTCAGGTGAAGGGAGGCATTGCGAAGAAGAATCCTTCACGGTGACCTCAACCAGTGTGGGAATTGAACCCACACTTTTGGTGTCATTCTGTATCGTGTACCAGCCATCCAGGCAACAGACATAACCAGCCCAACAATCTTGAAGTAAATCATCATGAGTTGGTGAATTATTTCCAAAATCATAGAATACCTACAGTGTAGAGGCAGGTCATTTGGCTCATCAAATTTTACTGCAACACTCCAAAGAGCATCCCACCCAGACCCACCCCATCCTTGTAACCCTACATTTCCTATGGCTAATCCACTTAACCTACACACCCTGGAAACTATAGGCAATTTAGCATGGCCAATCAACCTAACCTGCACATCTTTGGACTGTGGGAGGAAACCAGAACACCTGGAGGAAACCCACGCAGACACAGGGAGAATGTGCAGACTCTATACAGACAGTCGCCAGAGGATGGAATTGAACCCAGGTCGTTAGCACTGTAAAGCAGCAGTGCTAACCACTGAGCTATCATGCCACCCATTGAGAGAAAGTTTGGGTTATTTGATATTTCACCAGAGGATAAGGTTACAGACAAGTTCTGCTGCAGCTAACTCAGCAGGAAGATGATAGGACACAGCAGATCCCTGCTGGGCATGCACACCAAGATGCTGGTTGTATTGAAGGAGCATGAATGACTTTAGCTTCAGACAGGTGGAGGGGAGTGTGCAGAGCAGCCCCCTCCCCTCCATGCACAACTTCTGCTGTATCTTCTTGTGCTCCAGACAGAGAAACAAAGTCACATTACCCTCCATATTTATCTGAGCCTCTGTATGGACAGGTCACTTATTCCTTCAGCCACTTTGACTCCTCCACCATGATCTCCTATGCCCACACGAAAATGCAGAAACTTCTCAAAAGCAACAAGGTTTCTTGATTCAGAGATTGTAGGAACTGCCGATGCTGGAGAATCTGAGATAACAAGGTGTAGAGCTGGATGAACACAGCAGGCCAAGCAGCATCAGAGGAGCAGGAAAGCTGACGTTTCGAGTCTGGACCCTTTTTCAGAAAATGGCTGTTATTGGGGCACCCACAGATTCCACGGGTGATGTCACATCTGCCGCCGCCGGGTATGCCACTTCCGGTACAGTGAACGCCATTGACACCGCTGCTGATACTGCCGCCTCCGTTTCCGAGACCAACACCACCGATTTAGAGATAGCAGGAACTGCCGATGCTAGAGAATCTGAGATAACAAGGTGTAGAGCTGGATGAACACAGCAGGCCAACCAGCATCTGAAGAAAGGTCCAGACCCAAAACATCAGCTTTCCTGCTCCTCTGACACTGCTTGGCCTGCTGTGTTCATCCAGCTCAACACCTTGTTATCCTAGGTTTCTTGATATCATGTGGAGTGAATCAAATTGGCTAAAGACTGGCATCTGAGATGCTGGGGGCTTCAGTAGGATGCCAAGATGAATTTTCTACTCAGAATTTTTGGCTAGAGATTGTTTTGAATGCTTCTGCCTTGTCTTTTGCAAGAGTGTCTTACATTTTGACTGAGAAAAGCAGGCAGACACTCAAGCTGACTCTCAAGATGAATATTGACCACATCTTCTGCCGATCGTGCCCTTAAGAAGGCAGCTGCAGACCTTCACCTGGAATCAGATTCCCAAGAACAGCTTTCCCTCCCAACTGGGAACTAACAGGAGGCCAGCAATTCCTATGCTTGGCACTTCCATACGGCTGCTGTAGGGAGGGATTGACAGTGTGGGCAGGAGCAAGCCAGAGGTATGGTTCTCAGTGGGCACACCGCTGCCCTTATTCAGTAACTGAGTGCTTTTGTTTGAGCAACATCCCTTCCCTCAGGACCTCAAGAAAACTAAAAAGCAGCCCACATTCTTTTTTTTTCCATTTGGGGAGGGACCATTATCAGCAGACCCACTTATAGCTGCATTAACCCCAAGCAGTGGAGAGTTGAGTTTTTTTTGATATCTCGAAGAGCTCTTACACATAACTGAACATTGTTCTCCCCATCACCAAATTTTATTTTCATCTATTAACCACCACTAGCAAATCATCTGTGTCCAATGGAATAATTTACATGCAAAGCCCATTAAGGGCAATGCAAAAGAGGGATGAGGTATTTATATAGTTATTAAGTGGCCACTTAAAGCTCTTGATTGGTAGTGAAGTAGAATGGTGGGCCTTAAAGACATTTCTGACCAGAAATTAATTCTGTTGGAAATTTCAGGAACTAGTTATGACAACAACC